GTAATTCTTATAATATGTTTATTACACACTAGCGACCCGCCCTCGCTTCGCTTCGGAAACATTAAAAGACACATGAAACAAAAAAATAAAAAATAAAAAAAAGTAGCCTATGTTCATCAGGGACAATGTCGGCTTCTAATGGAAAAAGAATTTTTCAAATCGGTCCAGTAGTTTCGGAGCCTATTCGAAACAAACAAACAAACAAATCTTTCCTCTTTATAATATTAGTATAGATTATATACACTATTTACGGCGTGAAAACGAAGTTAAATTATTTAAATGCTAAGTCAGTATTTGGACCATTGGAGGGTGATTTGTTAAGCGTAAAACTCGAGCTAGCCACAAAAACTAACTTTTCGTTTCAAAATATTACTTGTATGTTGCCTTAGTTTTAATATAAACAAGGTCATTAGCTGAAACGCAGGAGTGATCGAACTTCTTGAATATTGTGAAAGAGAAATAAACGGCTACTGGTAAGTTGTTTTCTTCGCCAAGCATAGGAGACTTTTGTAATGAGGGTAGTGGTATCTTCCTGCGCCTGACGTCACGTTTTAAAAACAACCAGGTCATAGGTCCTCCGCCGTACATTATATAACATAAACGATATAAGGTCATAGCTGCGTCAAGTACGTTGTATAATAATAAGTCCCGGTGATAGGGGATGTGGCGTTACAACACTAGCGATTGTCAACATATATTTTTGTTTATTTCTATTGCGGGATACGTTCGTTCCAGTTTGAAGGAAAACAAGCGAAAAGCAATCGAGGTTGCAATCATATTATCAAAGATATTATCTTAATGTGGGCTTCGACGTGCGAGTGTGAATCTCTCAATTAGCCGCATTTATAGAAAGGCGAATTTGATTTTTTTTTTTTTGTATTTACTGTTCATCTGGACGGTAGAACTAAAGACTCAACCGGCGCTTAGTATTTACTATAGCTCATAGACTGAACGATATTGTATTAGTATATTTCAAAATTTATACAAATCATGGTTTTGGGAAAAGAAACACTTTCCTTTTCTTGGTAGACCTCATAAATATACAATAAATCGTCGGAGCGACCGGTTCTACGTAAAATTTTCTATCCAAAGGAATATTTTCTCTTTGCATTAGCAGATATGATCAACACGTCTACGTCGTATCTAAGGAAATATCACAATCGTGAATTCCGAAAATTTGTATAAGTATTTCCCAATCTACTCCAAAGAAAATATTGCCTTTCCTTGCTTTGAACCACACAAATCAAATTCATAACTCATTTGAATATTGGACGTTTGGACAAAATTTCAATGTTGAACTTGTTCATGGCTTAGTTCACAGGGCTCTCTGTTTCGATATCAACACAATTAACAATAGAATATTCCGACTAATGATCACGAAACCACTTTCCGCTTGAATACATTAATTGGTTCATCAGGTCATATAAATCAATCAACATCACGACGCTGACAAGTCCTCATTCGTGAGCTAACAATGAGTACAATTACTGTACTGCGGATGTACGGTCTATTGTCAATATTTATTGGATTAGATATTGTTTAATGTAATTAATTGAACTACGTTATTTAATCCAAACGCCTTTAATGTAATTAATTGTGAATTCAAATTATTTTAAACGAAGATTAATTAATTAATAGATTGGTATTATTATGAAAATGATTTTTTTTTTGTGATTTTATAATTATCCCATGGTAGTAGCAAGTAACACGGTGACGTTGACAGGTTGAAGATCTTGAGAATGAACTAAGCTTGCCAATACGCATCAAATTTTACGCATAAAAAATTAGCTTACATGATTATTACGAGTATACTAGTATTGCAAAAGAAAATATCACTCTTAAAACGAATCTATTGCCTAAAAGAGAAGATGGCCGGTGTACCCATACCGACCGATCTATGCTGGGGCTGAGATTCCACAGGCAGGTACTAATTTTTAAAACTAAATACCCATTTGCCGCGCGTTTATGATCGAATGCTATTATGCAAGAATAACATAACTTTCTTCGGTCTTAAGATTGATTGATTTCATGATTGGTATTTTGCAATATATAGCGGCAATAAGGTGGGTTATCTATTGGTTAATCAACTTAACAATAATCACTTAAGACTAAGCGGGCCGTAAACTATGTAGTTCACCCATATATACACACTGGTGGTAGGACCTCTTGTAAGTCCGAACTGGTAGGTACCACCACCCTGCTTATTTCTGCCGTGAGGCAGTAATGCATTTCGGTTTGAAGGGTGGGGCAGCCTTGTAACTATATTTGAGTATACTTGAGACCTTAGAACTTATATCTCAAGATGGGTGGCGCATTCACGTTGTGGATGTCTATGGGCTCCAGTAAACATTTAACACCAGGTGGGCTGTGAGCTCGTCCACCCATCTGACTCGGCAATAGAAAAAAAAAAACATATGTTTATTATGAAATATTTTGGATCTGGCAATTTATTCCGAACACGTTCCTTTTGGCACGTACGCTGATGACACGACGAACGGCAAGTCAGGAATTCGACGAAACCGCATTTTATGAATAAACGTGTTGTGTTGCTATATTTGTAACGGCTTATATTTTCGACACCGACGTGTCCGCCAACTGCAATCGCTTTTACTGATGATAGAACATAGATTATTATAGTAATCCCACACAGGCTGCTTGTTTGTGCTGCGAATCAGTTGTGTCTTTTGGTTTAAGGTGTAGGATAGCCGTTATATTGAGATTTCGACTTCATATAACCCAAGGTTTTTTTTTATTTTGCCCTTGTAGGCAGACGAGCATACGGCCCACCTGATGGTGAGTGGTTACCGTCGCCCATGGACTTCAGCAATGCCAAGGGCAGAACCAAGCCGCTGCCTACCGCTTAATACTTTCCACAAGCCTCTTTTGAAGAAGGACATGTCATAGCGCTCGGGAAACACCGTGGAGGGGAGCTCATTCCAAAGCCGGATGGTACGTGGCAAAAAAGAGCTCTGGAAACGCACTGTCGATGAACGCAGCGGTTCCAGATAATATGGATAGCGGGAGGTGCGATGATAAAAAAGAGATGAGGGATCATCTCAAACAATTCCTCAGAGCTCTCCCTATGGAACATACGGTACAAAATACAGAGGGAACCGAAGTCCCTTCGTAGATCCAGAGGTTCCAAACGATCCGTGAGGATAGGATTATCGACAATCCGAACGGCCCTCTTCTGTATGGAGTCAAATGGAAGAGGTTGGTATTTGGGGCCCAGAGATGGGCCCACGCGAGGCCGGACTTGTGCTTTATAAAGCAAAAGTCTTTGTCCAGACGTGAAGTACCGCTTGGCTCTGTTGAGGACTGCCAGCATTTTGGACGTCAACTTCGCTTTGCATTCTAAGTTGACTCCGAAATTGGACATCGCTCGAAATGTCGACCCTAAGTATCCCGATACTCTCGGAAGGTTGCAGTGATACTCCTTAGAATTGCGGCCCCATGACAAAGGGGTCCTTTTTCGCAATGAACGAGTAGTGTAGGACGTCCTCCTGCTAGATGGAACGACGACTTGCGCAAGGCAGCTGACAGTAACTGGATGCGTAGAACCGAAGATCGGGTTCAGTGGCAAACTTTGGGGGAGGCCTATGTCCAGCAGTGGACTGCCGCAGGCTGATGATGATGATGATTATGAAGTATAGTTACCATAAAATGACGGATTTCATGTTTTTGTTAATAATTATATAATAATTATACACTAAGTGTATTCTATGATTCTACATCTATGATAAGAAATAAAAACCGCAGACCGGGCTCAGTGGTGTAGATTGGGAGAGGCCTATGTTCAGCAGTGGACGACTATGGGCTGTTGATGATGATGATGATGATAAGAAATATCATTCAAAACTTTATTATTGTAGAATCTCTAATTTCGTTTTTAATTTCCAACAAAAAAAGTTTTATTTCAAAGTTCATTGACACGACACTGCTGCTATCAGGTGAAACGTGTTTTGTTGTTTAACTAATTCTCGGCGGAATATTTCATTTCATTATTGCGTGTTACGACTTTAATAATTCACTACACACCTCAACCTCTGTTCTATAATATTTTGATAAAAAATATTTTTATGGTAGAACTAAACTGACGCCGGTATAAAAATAAAATCGCTGCAATTTTACAGAGTTTTATATACAGCCATAAAATCTTTGCCGGTTCGCCTTCCACTTGTGAAATATTTTTACAATTTCTTAGCATAAATAATATTTAATAATATTAAATTTTTTTTAAAGTCGATGGACGTATTACTGTCGATATACGCTTAGCACAGAGAAATGGGTTTGCAGATGCTTTGTTTGAATTTGTTTTGACGAAGAAATAGTATCTATGTATATATTATTTGAATTATAAAAGTGTGAAACAGTGCTTGGGCTAACCTAGCATTTGGCAGTGGTTCCTATAGTCCTGTTTTTACAATGGAACTACATCAAGGTATGTACTAAATTTTATTTTATTAAATTTATCATCAATAAATTTGCTGTAATCCAACTTTTAAATTACATTAAAAATTATCATGATGTCTGTATTAAGCCCCGATATTACTCAGAAATGCAAAAATTAGAGTGATGGTACAAACAATTGCGTATTTTCAAGAAAATGAGCACGGTATATTTTATGTGGCTTTCGTGGAAGAACATAAATTTAAAATAGTTTACCTATTTGCTGCATTTAATTTGTGATCGCTGAGAAAAACATTTAACCCAGGTATTGTAATTTATATGATTCAGGTGGTTCTATTTATCTTTCGATTGTCGATTTTACACATTTCTCAACATTATTTATTCAAAAGTACATTTTTTTTTATTTCCGTATAGGCAGACGAGCATACGGCCCACCTGATGGTGAATGGTTATCGTCACTCAGGGACGTCAGCAATGCCAGAGGCAGAACCAAGCCGCTGCCTACTGTTTAATACTCTCCATCAGCCTCGTTTGAATATTGACTAATTACGTAATTTATTTAGTAAATGCTAAAATAATAGTTTTCTTACCTGTTCAACGGAACCATATTGTCGTCTGGAAAAAACGCCGCGTCTTGTTATCAGCTCACTCGCTGACGAGCTGTTGACAAAGATGAGTTGTTAACTAAATCATAAAAAGTAAACTGAAACCCAAAAGTCATTCAAGTTTTGTGTGTGACACCGGCCAACCATAGTGATTGGTTAGCAACTATAATACAACTTAACAAACTAATTATACTTATGTCGTGGAACGTCAGGTCCGAACCGACTTGGCGTGTTCGGAAATGGAGGTTGGCAGCGTTATGGAAGATGTCAATGTCAGTTGAGTTTGAGCGGGAGTATAACAGTGTCACTTGATAATTTAACCTCATTTCTAGGCTAAGCCCTGTGAGCTCGCCTACACGTTTGATGAAGCCAATATAATTCCATCGAAATTAGTAACAATAGGAAAAAAACTTAACCTCACTTTTGGATTGAGCACCGAACGGCGGCCAACGTGGATCTGTGGAACTTGCCGCGTTCCAGTAGTAATCTGTTTTCATCCGATCGATGCGTGTAGATTTTTATTGTTCATTTGTTAAATCGTTCTAAATACACCCTAAGGGTGCACATAACACGTGAATCAATCCAAGATCTATTTACGTGATTAAACATGGACACCAAAGACTATTTGTAGTTGGGTAATTCGATCGTAGTCACTGACACCTTAAGAATTCGATTTATTTTATGTATTTAATTTTCTCTTTCCTTTTGTATTAAAATAAACATTGTTATGAAAAATACAAATTATTCCTTATTTTTGGCATCATTAAGTCTCATCAATCTTAAGAGAATCCTAAGCAAAAAAGCTAAACTCAGTTGTCAAACGGAGGATGGAGGAGAGGCAAAATGGAACATAGCCTTTTTTTCTTTTTTACCTATTTCTAAATAGATTTACCATTAAATGTAATCACAAAGCTGAGTTCAGTAGTATCCTGTTTCTTTCGGATATGTCTTTGAAAATAAAGATTAAAGTCATGTCACTTATCCACTGTGCTACTGACGTTCACGTGACAATCCTAAGGATTGCCGTGACGTTTTGTAGTAAGTGGCGTACTTTGAAGTGTTTTGTATGAATTGTTAATATTATTACTTACTTCTGCTCATAATTTATGTTCCGTAGATACGTAACTGATGTATGAGTAGAATATGTTGTTAAGTGAACTGTTTTTACCCCGTAGATATGTTTTAAAAGTATAAAAGGCTTGTCATTCGTTATGTCAAATATTCTGAATCGCATAATTAGTCTTTGAGATGATTTCATCACCGCATTGAACAAACACTGAAACAGTTTATTTCTCTTTAAAACTACAATATGAGATATGTCCGACTGAAATCAGATTTTTCGATTGGCTAACTGATAATCCTTCCAAAAATATATATTCAATATTTAAGTGAAATAGTTCTTAAAATGTAGCTTATTGCTTGCTATCTTACGGCTCGCATCATTGTCGATTTTAATTTATTTATGGCTGGCATAATAATATAATAGTTGGTTTAATGAAATCACATGTTAAGTGATATCCGTAGCCTGTACACGTCATAAAGTGAATAATGTGGGATGTGAAATCGAAGTTTAAATTCTCTTGTATGGAAGATATTCCACCATTAAAACGTAACGTATGACTGCTCTGCGGCTGTACTTAGGCATAATGCTACGAATAAATACGCCGGTTTATTTTATTATTTATTATTAGCGTTCTATTATTTCTTGTTCATTAAAATTTTGCGACAATTTCATTAAAATTCAAGAAGACGTGTATCCCTCGAACCGTGCATTTTAATTTTTACTTGACATTATTAGGCTCAGCTGTTTTCTTGATCGTGAAGCTTCCAATAATTTGGAGTGCACTGGTCCCGCGTGACCTCTTGGGCTCGTTCAAATATTGCTTACAACGGTACGTGACAAGCCAGATGGTGCTCGATACCACTCGTAATTCAAAAAAGAGAAAACGCCCACCGACTTAGCACTTTTCAACACCTTTCTTTAATTATTGATGTACTCTATCGAATATACATTTGTATGAAATGATACATATAATTTATTCATAAAGTATTTATTACACATAAGGTCGCACATTCTAGCACAATTTAGGGGTGACCTGTGTCCAACGTCGGTGAATGATGTAATTAGGGTTCAATTTGGTTTGCGTACTATCCGTAAATAAAAACTGTGTGTGGTTGCAACGACATTTATTGTGCGACTGACTTAAATTTTGACAAGTAAAAATATCGTAATTAGCAAAGAGTATAAGGTTAGTAACAACATACCGCCCACCAAAGGACTACTAAGTTCTTTCTAAATCTATTGTACTAATTACAACGTCAAGGTGACTTCAAAACAATATTCTACAAAACGAAATAAAAGTTGCTTAAATACTAGACATCATAATACAATATGCTTAACTTGAGACTTAGTATTAATTTAATAATAATATTGCTACAGTGACATTGGTAGAGAATCTTGACAAAATTACAAGATGACATTTCACTGAGTGGAATCCACTGGCAAACGACATAATTTTGTAATTGATCTTTTTGTCACAGCACTGCCACTTTTNAAAGTACTCGGCGCGGCTGCTTGTGTGAAAGATTGCAAAAGATCTTTTAAATCGGCTAACAAGACGAGATACAAATCTTCGAACACAAAGTAATCTTCATTTTGAAAATATGGTAACTCTTGTCTTTGTTCTTTCGGTGTTATTTTTACCAATTGTAGATGCGTTTGCTTAAATGTAGTCCAATATTCTTCGATACATTTGATTCTTGCTTCTACATAACCTCTTGTCAATCTAGCTTTTGGACATTTCTTCAAATTAATTTGAGTTTTGTTTAAGAGCGCAGCGGTATCTTCTAAAACGTTCAAAAGTTCATCCATAGTACCGTCCAACCAGAAAACGGAATAAAATTGTAATATTTATAAATTATGTATAAATTATTTGTCTTTAAATCACTGGAATGTGGTTTACGGCTTACGGAAAACAATATTTTCACTGGCCGGCGTCCATCTTCGATAGCTTGTATGTTCAAAAAATCCGCTCGAATTTGACCAATATGAATGATGTAATTAGGGTTCAATTTGGTTTGCGTACTATCCGTAAATAAAAACTGTGTGTGGTTGCAACGACATTTATTGTGCGACTGACTTAAATTTTGACAAGTAAAAATATCGTAATTAGCAAAGAGTATAAGGTTAGTAACAACAGTCGGACTTCTGTAGGCTGATGGTGAAGATGAATGTCATACTGTGGTTAGTAAGATATTAATGTCGTGGTTAATGATAAGTAGTTTGTGCACATATTTGACTTCCTTTTTAATACACTGCGTGAACTAAGGCTTTTCGAATCGATTTTTATTGATCGTCATTGTGTCATAACATATCGAGGGGTGAAAGGCTATTTGGTATAAGCGATATTCCGCTTAATACGCAACATTTATCTTTGTAATTAAAGGCACTATTTATTTGGTATTAGCATCAAGAGTTCGATGTACTAACTTTAATTAAGTTTACTCTATACAAATAGCTGAAGAATTTTTATGTTATGTAATTTTTCCAAATTTAAACTTTAAATGGCTCTCCCTGTAAAGTTGCAAAAATGTTGCTTACAACCATCTTTTACAAGTCGGTATGTAGTAAAATCTATGGTACTGAACCTTACAGTGTAAATTCACTCCTAATTGTGGTGTGGCTGCAAAATTTGGTAATCGTACGTATTCCCCGTGGCATTGCAGTAAATATTATTGGTATATGGTACCATCCAATTGATGATGAATTTGCAAGAAAGACCCGTGATTGGTCCATCGATGTTTTATTAATTTTATTTGGGGAAAATTTCTTTAAAGTCTATACGATTTTAAGTGGTTACCGGAGCCCGCGGATCTATCTTTCCGTAAACGTAATAGTGAAATATATTAATTAATAATTTACCTTAATAAAAAAGGTAAAAAAATTGTTCCACATTTTCACGCTCTAATGTTATTCCTTTTAAGTTAATAATCCTCACACGGAATAAATTAATAATCCGAAACATCAGGAACGATTTTTTTTTGTACAATTATTTTTAAAGCATTGATTTTCGAGCTAATAAAATAAAGTTTTTTGGAACGAAGTTCCTTAGGGAACGATGCGGAGGGGTACCCAAACCGGGAAAAACGTCCGTAACGTAAGATTTTTATTAGTAATGCACACAGTGTACGACTTTACTTTGTAATAACGTACAAATAAGTAATGCACACAGTGTACGACTTAACTTTGTAATAACGTACAAAAAATGACATATTTTGTTATCATTCATTAACCACGATCTCAGAGCGTTCGTTTGCGCAATACACTAACTCTTATGCAAACAACCGTGAATGAAGTGTACCACAATAAGTTCGCACGTTACCGAATGACCGTGGGTTGTTGCGAAACCTCCAGGAAAACCTGCAGTTTTATTTTCTTAATAGAACTTTAAATTAATATTTTTTTAGTTAATAAGGAATGAAATGAACAAACTCAACAAATCTCTGTAAAATGATAAACGATGAAACAAGTTGAGAATGATTATTTTTTAATAAAAACACAAAATTAAGAAAACAGAAAGAAATGGGTAATATAAAGACAAACGTCAAAAGTGAAGTATATAAAAACTACATTAGTTATCAAAATAGCAAAGAGGTTCACAACATCCTCCCCCTCGTNATTACTGGTGAAGGACCAAAATGAAATGAACAAACTCAACAAATCTCTGTAAAATGATAAACGATGAAACAAGTTGAGAATGATTATTTTTTAATAAAAACACAAAATTAAGAAAACAGAAAGAAATGGGTAATATAAAGACAAACGTCAAAAGTGAAGTATATAAAAACTACATTAGTTATCAAAATAGCAAAGAGGTTCACAACAAGGAACTTCGTTCCTATCCGGTGTCCCACGACACCACACATATTTTTATTGTAATTCGAGAATACATGTTTCAGTGTTCAAATATTTAGTAAATATAAATTGAAATCCAAAGTTTAGACGATGTACGATTTTGCCGAGATGGAGTTTTGTACGTTCAATTGTATAGGCTC